CACGACCACACAGGACAATAACAATCCCGTATACCATCACAATGGAGAGCAGATCGACTGTTACAAGTTTATGGTCATTTATCGCACAGATGTTTCCCCAGCACCTCTAAGGAGCCTATGTGGTGCTGACTGGCTTGTCTCGGAGGTTGCCCTGCCTGGGCCAGAAGATGCCTGTGGCCAGGACACTACCTCCAGGCTTCCCCTCAGGACCTGTTCCCTTAGAACACCACATGCACACACACACACACACACACACACACACACACACACACACACATCATGCTTCCTTTGCTGCTTCTGGAGCAACAAGTCTTCTCACACCCACATTTGCAGGACACAAGTCACATTCTTCATGGACGAAAGGCTGTGTCTTTGCTTCTCGAGCACCTAGCATTACATACATACAACGGAGACATCCAAGGTCAGAATGGAACCCCCATCATGCCACGCAAGAGGCTGGAAAACCAGGTGGTTAAGACCAGGAGTCTAGGAACTTGGCTGACCTGATTCTAGTCCTGTGCCTTCGCCAGGGCTGGGGTTAAGGTGGAGCAGGCGAGGGGCCAGTCTGGGCTTTGCCTCGTGCCTCGCCCTAGTCACAGCCCATCCGCCACTTCTGGCTGTGTGACTTCAGGCAAGTAGCTTCACCTCTCTGAGCCTCGCTGGGGATCATACCTGTTCTGTAAGGTTTTGCGGGGGGCGGTAAATAAGATAAAACCTGGTCCTTAATGGTCTCTGTAAATTCTAATTCTTTTCCTAAATTAGACATTAAGCAGAGTGGCCACCAGAGGGCAGCAGTCCCCATGCTGAGAAAATAATATGCCTGGTAATCAGTGATCCTTTTGAAGGAACACGCGCGCGCGCGCGCGTACAGGAGGGTTGTGTCCCTTGATTGGGTCAACACAGCCCCAGCCAGCAGGTACACCGGCATTCTGCTGGTCACTCGTGGCTCTGGTCACTTGAGGATTGGCACGAGCCTGACACCAGTGAATTGAGATTTATTGGGACACTCTATTCTGCTCTCCAGGATTGATGGAAGGATCAAGAGGCAAACGAAATGTATAAATACACGTAACAAAGCATTGTCACGCTGCTGAGCCCTGTTAGAAACTCTCCTTCTGAACCCGGTGGAGGTCTGGTCTCCTTGCTGTAATCTAGAACCCTTCAGGTACCCCAAGAGCTCTGCTGCAGACATAGACCTACCAGGCCGTGTGCATCTGTGGAAGGAGGAAGCCAACTCTTTTTTTTTTTTTTTTTTTTTTTTTTTAGATTTTATTTATTTATTTGACAAAGAGAGAAATCACAGGTAGGCAAAGAGGCAGGCAGAGAGAGAGGGAGAAGCAGGCTCCCTGCTGAGCAGAGACCCTGATGCGGGACTCGATCCCAGGACTCTGAGACCATGACCTGAGCCGAAGGCAGAGGCTTTAACCCACTGAGCCACCCAGAAGCCCCAGGAAGGGGCACCTGGGTTGCTCAGTGAGTTAAAGCCAGGAGCCCCAGGAAGCCAATTCTTAACACAGGTCAATACCCTTGATAAGTAAGGTTAAGTTATGATCCCGCCCTGGCACAGGATAGATGCTCAGTAAATGTCTGATGAATAAATGACTCTTATCTAGGAGAGCACAGTAGTTAATTGCACTGGGCTTTAGGTAGTCAGATTATGGCTTTTTTCTCCCTCTTGTCTTATTGCTTTATCCAGGATCTCCAGGATGGTGTTGATTTGTAACAGTGATAGCAGGTGTCCTTGTCTTGTTTCTAAGTTTTTACCATTGAGTATGGTATTTGCTATAAAATAGTAATTCCTGGGGTGCCTGGGTGGCTCAGTGGGTTAAAGCCTCTGCCTTCAGCTCAGGTCATGATCTCAGGGTCCTGGGATCGAGCCCCGCATCAGGCTCTCTGCTCAGCAGGGAGTCTGCTTCTCTCTCTCTCTCTGCCTGCCTCTTTGCCTACCTGTGATTTCTCTCTGTGTCAAATAAATAAATAAAATCTTAATAAAATAAAATAAAATAGTAATTCCCGTGTATTCTCATGTATCAGGTTTCTCAAAATTATAAATGAGTGTTGAGGGGCAGCTGGGTGGCTCAGTGGACTAAGCCTCTGCCTTTGGGTCAGGTCATGATCTCAGGGTCCTGGGGTCAAGCCCTGCATTGGGCTCTCTGCTCAGCAGGGAGCCTGCTTCTCCCTCTCCCTCTGCCTGCCTCTCTGCCTACTTGTGATCCCTCTCTCTCTGTCAAATAAATAAATAAAATCTTCAGAAAAATAAATAAAAGAGTGTTGAGTTTTTCGAGTGTTTTTCTTATATCTATGGAGATGGTCACATGGGTTTTTCCTTTAATTCGTTAACGTGGGGGATTGTGTATCTCGGTCTCTTTTCATTTTTGAAGGCAGGAGTTTATGTTACACACTGGTAGCAGGACCATACTGAGCACTTAATAGGCACCCAAACATTTACTGAATGAATAAATGAGGAACAACAGATTCCTGGGGAAAGCTTCCACAAAGTAGCATTTCTATCTCACATCCTGCACGCAAGAAAGGTTTGGAGTTTTGCAGCAAATGTGTTGATATGAAATATGCTTGAAGTCCTGGGATCAGTTCAACTTGGCTATGACTTTTTTTTCCCCCTCTATTTAGGCTCTATTTAATTGGCTAATTTTTACTTAGGATTTGTGTCTCTATGTGTTTTTTTTTAAGATTTTATTTATTTATTTGACAGAGAGAGAGAGATCACAAGTAAGCAGAGAGGCAGGCAGAGAGAGAGGGGGAAGCAGGCTCCCTGCTGAGCAGAGAGCCCAATGCGGGGCTGGATCCCAGGACCCTGAGAGCATCACCTAAGCCAAAGGCAGAGGCTTAACCCACTGAGCCACCCAGGCGCCCCTATGTCTCTATGTTTAAGGGAATTCTTCTGTTATTTTCTTCTCTTGTATTGTCCTTTTTCTGGTTTGGGGATCCAGGTTATCCTATCCTTATAAAATAAACTGGACAATTTTCCTTTGTCTCATTGTCTGAAAAATGTAGAAGTTCAAGATCAGATTTAATAAAACTTGCCTATAAATCCATCTGGCTCTGACATCATTTTGGAGTCAGAAACTCCTGAATGCCCCATCGAGTTAGTTAATGATTTCTATTTCTTTTTGAGTCAGTTTGGGTACATTTATTATTTTCTAGAAAATTCTCCCTTTCACATACATTTTCAGCCTTGCCTCTCTTTGGTTGCATTACCCAGGAACTCTTTTTTTTTTTTTCCAAACAACGTTGTTGACATATATTTTACATAATATAAAATTCATCTGTTTCAGATGTACAATGAAATGATTTCTAGAACTTTTATTAAGTAACAACTGTTATCATAAATCAGCTTTAGAACATTTTCATGCCCCCAATAGGATCTCTTTGTCCTTTTATAAAGTAATAGCTTTATTGAGTTATAATTCATATACCATATAATTCACCTACTGAAAGTATATAGTTCAGGGGTTTTTAGGATAGTCATAGTTATACAACCATTATCACATCAATTTCAGAGTACTTTAATCTCTCCCATTAAAACTCTGTATCCATTAGCAGTCACTCCCCTCTTCCCTTCCCCTCCCTCTAAAGTCTTTTTTTTTTTAAGATTTTATTTATTTACTTGACAGAGAGAGAGGGATCACAAGTAGACAGGGGTTGGGGGGATCACGCTCCCTGCTGAGCAGAGAGCCTGATTCGGGGCTCGATCCCAGGACCCTGAGATCATGACCTGAACCAAAGACAGAGGCTTAACCCACTGAGCCACCCAGGTGCCCCAGCCCTCCCTCTAAAGTCTTGAGCAACCACTAGTCTAGCTTCAGTCTGTATAGATTTACCTATTTTGGGCGTTTAGTATATATTTTTAAAGATTTTATTTATTTTTTTTTTTGAGAGAGAGGAAGACAGCATGAGCAATGGGAAGGGCAGAGGGAGAGAGAGAAGCAGACTCCCTGCTGAGCAGGGAGCCTGATGAAGGACTCAATCCCAGGACCCGGGGATCATGACCTGAGCTGAAGGCAGACGCTTAATGACTGAGCCACTCAGGTGCCCCATTCTGGGCATTCAGTGTAAAAGAAATCATATACTATGTGACCATTTGTGTCTGGCTTCTTTCATTTATCATGCTTTTGAGGTATATCCATGTTGTAGCAGGTGTCAGTATGTTATGCTCTTTTATTGCTAAATAATATTCCATTATGTGGACATATTTTATTTGTCCATTCATCAGTTAATAGACATTTGGGTTGTTCTGCTCTCGGACTATTATAAATAATGGTGCTGCACAGATTGGTGCGGTTTTTGTGTGGACGTGCATATGTGTGCATTTCTCTTGGGTTTATACCTAGGAGTGAAATTACTTGGGCCACATGGTCATTCTATGTTAAATTTTCTGAGAAACTGCCAAACTTTTTTCAAAGTGGTTGTAACTGGAGCGCCTGGGGGGCTCAGTCGGTGGAGCGTCTGCCTTCGGCTCAGGTCATGATCCCAGAGTCCTGGGATCGAGCCCCACATCGGGCTCTCTGCTCAGTGGGGAGCCTGGTTCTCCCTCTTCCGCGGCCTGCCGCTCCTCCTGCTTGTGCTCTCTCTCTCTCTCTCAGTCAAATAAAATCATAAAAACAAAAAACAAAGTGGCGTACTCTTTGACATCCCCATTAAAAGTGTCCAAGAGCTCCAACTCCACTTCCTCGCCAACATTTGTTACTGTCTTTTTTATTTTTGCCATCCTAGTAGGTATGGGGAGTGATCTCGTGGTTTTTTTTTTAAGATATTTATTTATTTATTTATTTTTTACAGCTCAAAGGCCTCACATTTATTACCAAACCAACCGACTGGTGCAGAGCTATAGTAACAGAAAAATCTTTCGCTGATAAATGGTATCTATTGGCCAGGCAGAAAGGTGTTTACAGGGTGACGGAATAGAACACATGATCTTCAAGTAGCTTAATTAAATACGTGGTGCCCATTAGGTGTGTCATCACATGATATGGGACGCCTTAGAGACCCAACTTGGTTCTCCTCCAGTGCCTCCTCTTGGAGTTGTACCTGATTTTATTACCAGTTTTCATCCGAAACCACTGGGGAATGGGACGATTCTTTTTTTTTTTTTTTTTTTAAGATTTTATTTATTTATTTCACAGAGAGAGAGATCACAAGTAGGCAGAGAGGCAGGCAGAGAGAGAGAGGGGGAAGCAGGCTCCCCGCTGAGCAGAGAGCATGATGCAAGGCTCGATCCCAGGACCCTGAGATCATGACCTGAGCCGAAGGCAGCGGCTTAACCCACTGAGCCACCCAGGCGCCCCTACGATTCTGCTTTTGTTTTTTGGCCAGGAATCGCCTGATCCTGAAAGTCTTGTGAGAAGACATGGTCAATTAACAGTGAGCGGCACACAGCAGGATGGTGGCGAAAAAGAGAAAGCTAAAGATTTTTATTTTTAAGTAACATCTACTGCCAACGTGGGGCTTGAACTTACAACCCTGAGATCGAGTATCACGCACTCTACCAACTGAGCCAGCAGGCACCCCATATCTTATGGTTTTGGTTTGCATTTCCCTGATGGGAGGCTAAGGCTGCTTGGTATCTTTTCTTGTGCTTATCGGCCATTTGTATATCTTCTTTGGAGAGATGTTTATTCATATCCTTTGACCATTTTTAATTGGGTTATTTACATTTTTATTATTGAGTCGTCTTTCCATTTACTTGGGTGTTCTTTGACTTCTCCCAACAATGCTATGTAGTTTTCAGAGTAGAAGTTATCCTCTTCTTTTAAAAGTTGACCTTATTCTTAACTACTTTATTATATTTGGTGCTACTGTAAATTAAATTGTTTAACTTCATTTTTTTGCATAGTTCATCACTAATGCATAAAAACACAACTGATTGCTGTATGTCGATTTTGTATCCTACAACCCTACTGACCTCATTTATTAGTTTTATATTTTTTGATGGATCCCTTAGGGTTTTCTAAACACAAGATCAGGGGTGCCTGGTTGGCTTAGTGGGTTAAAGCCTCTGCTTTCGGCTCAGGTCATGATCCCAGGGTCCTGGGATCGAGCCCCGCATGGAGCCCCGCATTGGGCTCTCTGCTCAGCGGGAGCCTGCTTCCTCCTCTCTCTCTGCCTGCTTCTCTGCCTACTTGCGATCTCTGTCAAATAAATAAATAAAATCTTTAAAAAAAATAAATAAATAAACACAAGATCATATTACCTGCAAATAGAGCTTATTTTTCTTTCTTTCTTTTTTAAAGATTTTTTAAATTTATCTTTTTGACAGAGACACAGCGAGAGAGGGAACACAAGCCTGGGGAAGGGTAGGAGAGGGAGAAGCAGGCTTCCAGTGGAGCAGGGGGCCCGATGAGAGGCTGGATCCCAGGACCCTGGGATCATGACCTGAGACGAAAGTAGATGCTCAAGGACTGAGCCACCCAGCTGTCCCTAAAGCTAGTTTTTATTTCCCATCTGCATGCCTTTTATTTCACTTTCTTGCCTAATTGCCCTGGTAAGAACCTCCAGTACAATGTTGAATAGAAAAAGACGGAGTAGATAGACATCCTTATCTTGTTTCTGATCTAGGTGTGAAAGCATTTAGTATTTCACAATTGAGCATGATGCTAGTTGTGGGTTTTTCATAGATGCCCTTTATCAGGTTGAGGAAGTTTCCTTATATCCCTAATTGTTGAGATCGATCGATCTTTCTTTCTCTTTCTTTCTTTCTTTCTTTCTTTCTTTTTCTTTTTCTTCCTTCCTTCTTTCTTTCTTTCTTCCCTACTTCCTCCCTTCCTTCCCTCCCTCCCTCTTCCCTCCTTCCTTCCTTTTACTCTTTCTTCCCTCCTCCCTCCCTCCCTCTCTCTCTCCTCCCTTCCTTCCTTCCTTCTTCCTTCCTCCTTCCTTCCTTTCTTTTTTTATTCCCTCCTCCTTCCCTCCCTGTCTCTTTCTTTCCTCCCTCCCTCCCTCCCTCTCTCTCCCTTCCTTTCTTCCTTCCTCACTTCCTTCCCTCCCTCCCTCCGTTTATCTGTTCGTTCTTTCTTTCTTTTTCTTTCTCTTTCCTCCCTCCCTCCCTCTGGCCTTCCTTCCTTCTCCTTCCTTCCTTCCTTCCCTTTCTTTATAGTTTTTCATTTTAATTCCGGCATACGGTACTATATTAGTTTCAGCTGTACGAGGGCTTTTTTTTTTTTTCTTAAATCACTAAGTGGTGTTGGATTTTGTTAAATGTTGGTTTTTCTCCGCATCTATTGAGATGGTTTTTATCCTTCATCCTACTGATACGGCACATTACAATCGCTGATTTTCAGATTTTTTAAAAGATGTTATTTATTTGAGAGAGAGCACAGGCAGGGGGAGGGACAGAGATAGAAGCAGGCTCCCTGCTGAGCAGAGACCCTTACGTTTCCCCAACCCAGGACCCTGGAATCATGATCCAAGCCGAAGGCAGACGCTCAACTGACGGAGCCACCTAGGCGTCCCCAGTTGTGGATTTTTGCAACTCGACTCAGAAGAGCCAATGGATGGATATTTCGAGGTTTCCAGGGGAGCTATTATGAATAATGTTGCTATAAACACTCATGCGCAAGTCTTGGCTTTGCATGGACATGCTCTCATTTCTTTGGAGTAGACACCTACGGGTGGAATTCCTGGGTCCTATGGTAGTTTTATCTGTTTTAAGATTTACTTGTTTATTTGAAAGACACAGAGAGAGAGAGAGAGAGAGAGAGAGAGAGAGCCCTGGGGGAGGGGCAGAAAGAGGAGAGAATCTCAAGCAGACTCCCAGGTGAGCGCGGAGCTGGACTCAGGGCTCGATCCCATGACCCTGAGATCACGACCCAAACTGAAATCAAGAGTCGGATACTTAACCAACTGAGCCCCCCAAGGGCCCCAGTAGATTTATCTTTTTGGGGAACTGACAAAATGCTTTCCAAGTGGAGGTAACCTCTTATGGTCCCACTAGCTAAGTATGAGGGTTACCTGAGAATTGATTTAAACTGTTTCTTCCTCAGGGCCTCCTGGATGGCCCAGTCGTTAAGCCTCTGCCTTTGGCTCAGGTCATGATCTCAGGGTCCTGGGATCAAGCCCTCCATTGGGCTCCCTGCCCAGTGGGAATCCAGCTTCTCCCTCTTCCTCTCCCCCTGCTTGTGTTCCCTTTCTCACTGTCAAATAAATAAGTAAATAAATTAATATCTTTCTAAGATTTTATTTATTTATTTATTTGACAGAGAGATCACAAGTAGGCAGAGAAGCAGGCAGAGAGAGGAGGAAGCAGGCTCCCCACTAAGCAGAGAGCCCCATGTGGGGCTCGATCCCAGGACCCTGAGATCTGACCTGAGCCAAAGGCAGAGGCTTAACCCACTGAGCCACCCAGGTGCCCCAATAAAAATCTTCTGAAATAATTAAAAAGACACTGTTTCTTCCTCTATAAAGTGGTGGTAATAATAACAGACTTCACAAAGTCAGGGAGATCATGATGTGTGGCGGATTTAGCAGGGCTCTGGGCCCGGACATCCAAAAGGCTCAGTACATGACACCTTTTTTATGTTCCCTTGTCTTTACTAATGTCCCAAGCTTTATGTTCCCTTGTCTTTACTAATGTCCCAAGCTTCAGACCTGGGTTAACTTACCTGGGTGAGATTGTCTTCAAGTCTTCCCTGTAAACTGACTTCTTGGTGTCAAATTCCACCCCCTTCTTCTTAGTCACAGTCCCCTAACCATCTTAACAGGACCCTCCAACCTAGTCCCCCTCTCCCACTGCCTTCAGGGTTTTGTGTCAACCTCTTTGGCTCAGTGGGCTTTCCTAGGCGAAGGGCTCCAAATTGGCTGACATCGGGCAGCAGGCAGTGGTCCATGAGCCTCTCCTGTCTACTGAATGACAGGACGGAAGATACTCATTGCTCTGCTTGGAAGGGACGTCTCCCATCCCTCATATGACCTAACTCTGGGTGACTCCTCTTAATCCTTTATGTCCTAGTTTGGGCCTAACCTCCTCCAGGAAGCCTTCCTAATGACCGCCCCCCCCCCATAATGTATCTTACTGCAAGTATCACTCTATTTATATTTTTATACGTTTGTCTTATGAACATCCTAAGGATGGGGGCTATTTTTTTTAAAGATTTTATTTATTTATTTGACAGAGATCACAGGTAGGCAAAGAGGCAGGCAGAGAGAGAGGAGGAAGCAGGCTCCCTGCTGAGCAGAGAGCCCGAAGTGGGCTCGATCCCAGGACCCTGGGATCATGACCTGAGCCGAAGGCAGAGGCTTTAACCCACTGAGCCACCCAGGCGCCCCAGGATGGGGGCTATTTTTATTCTGTCTCCTCGGTGCCTAACACATAGTAGGTATTCAATAGCCCGTAAATAACCACATCTGTGTACAAAGTATTAATGCTTACATGTTAGTATCTAAGAAAACTCTATAAGAAAAGGCTCTTGAACGGGGCCTTAAGGAATTAGCAGGCACCTGCTCAGTTGAAATGGAGGGAAGGGCATGCCGGGTGAAGTGAACAGCATGTGTAAAGGCCCCGCAGAGGAAAAACATATTTTCAGGAACTAAGAAGTCCAGTGTGGCTATAGGTGGTGGGATGGAGTGGTTAGTGAGGCTGGAGAGGTAAGGGAAGCCACTAGTCATGTTGTAAATGTAATTTTATGCCAATTGAAGGGTTCACAAGGGCAGAGAGGGGCCCTCCATTAAACAGGAGAGACACGATCAGAACTGAGTTTGGGAGGGTGTGAGTACTCAAGCTTCAGCAGCAAAGAGCTCACTAAGCCACAGATCCTGGGTCCTGCCCTGAGTTTCAGAAGGTCTGGGGTAGAGCCTGAGAATGTGCTTTTCTCACAAGTACCTGAGTAATGCTGGCTTGAGGAACCCACTCTGAGAGCCACTGATATGAAGGATGGGATGAAGAGTGGGTCACAAGCTTTCCAAACCATCCAGCTGAGAGGAAGGTAATGGAGACGGAGGAGGGGAGGGGCTCACATTCTCAACCTGCTAACTTTTCAGTGTTTTAGTGGTGAAATTTCAGGCTTGGTAATAAGCCAGTGTGGGAAAGGGAAGCTATTTCTGGGGAGAAATCAGCCAGGCGGTCAGGATAGTCCCCACCTTCGACCTGGGAGGACCAGATCCCGCTTGGTAATGACCTTCAGAAAGCACAAGAATCAAGGTGTCCAGAGTTGTCATTTAATGCCCGATTATCACAACACAAGGAGGTTTACACGGTGCTCATCAAGGCAGGACCTGGGGTAAAACCAGACCTGAGGGAAGTGACCTGTCTAGAGTCCCTGCACAGGGACCAGGTGGCCTGGGCCTCATCACCCTCAAGACACACCTGCCGTACACAAGGCTTCTTCCCTCACCCAGGAGCCCGCAGGCTGGCTGGGCTTCTGGTCACCGAGGGTCCTCATGGAAGAACAGGGTCCCAGGGGGAGGTGGGGGCTCTGGGACACCAAGAGGAGCACCAGACAGCTGCCTGAAAACAACCCCAGAAGGCTTTCACTTCAAGCCACACGACGCTCAGACGCGGGAACACCCAGATGCTTTTCCTAGGAACTAAACACTGCAAAACTGAGGCTGAGAACACTCGGGGAGGGAAAGTCAAGTCAAAACCCTCTCAGAACCAGCTTTCTGAGCTTCACCATCCCCCTCGTCCTCCCACAACCACACCAGTCCAACCACAGCGTTGCCGCAGAGAAGGGACCTCACGCTGCTCTAGTGAACACGTTTCATGGGAAGGGACACAGGAGCGGGGCTGAACCTCCACGACTTCACGCTACTGAGTTCCCTGGAGCCCCCGAGCCTCTGGTGCCCCCGTGCGACACAGGTGACTTGGGGGCTGCCTGTGGGGCTGGGAAGTGTCCTGGAAGAAATAACGTACCTCAGAAAGAAAAGTGGTTTTTCTTCCACCCTAGTTCTAAAGTTTACATGGCCCGTAAAGGAAATACCATCAAACAGACATTTTTAAAGCTCTCGATGCAACTCCTGAGAGGTTTCAAGTGTCGCTGGCAAGGAAGAGGTGTGAGCTTGTCACTCCCCAACAGCCTGAGGCTTGGCCTGGGCGGTCCAGCCCCAGGGGCCAGGCAGGGTGTGGAGGGGATAGCACAGGACAGAGACAGCTGCTCAGGATACAGACCATGGTCCCAAGGGGCAGCCCCTCTGTCCAGCACTACGGCCCAGCATTTGGAGAATGAGCTTGAATTCTGGCCAGACTTTACTAGTAAACCTGTTCCTGGTGAGTCCTGTAGGCCTCGTCTCTCTTTTCTCTGATTTAATTCTAGGAGAAGATTCTAGACAGAGCCAAAGGCATGGAAGTTGATGGGACATAGCTAAACAGCAGCCCAGACACCTCAGAACAGCTAAGCCACCTAGGCCCCACAGGCCCCCAACAGGATTCCAAGCAACACTCCTGTCCCCTGCCCAAGGGCTGAGGTAGTCCCTTGACCCTGGACATAGTGGGCTTCCAAGCAGGCTTCTGATGACGCCTCTTTGCTGGAGAGGGGACACCAACAGCATGTCTGTAAAGCCTACAAAATAAACCCTGTTTCCAGAGCGGGACATCTGTTCCTGAGAGGGCACAGTCAGGGGCCCGGGAAGTTGTGAAAATGACAAGGCATGCTGTCCCCATGCGAGCATTAACTCACACCAGACCCACCCCCAAAGAAGCCCACATCCCCAGCTTCAGATGCCAGCTTCTGGGTAACTCAGGAGCCATCCCATGAGGCCAACTTCGTATTTAAAACCAACTTAATGCTACAAACTTAAAAAAAAAAAAAAAAAAAAGTGCTGCCCAGCCAAGCCCCTGAGGAAACCTAGCTCCCTGAGGGTAGGTGGTAGGCCTCTAAGACCACCATCCCTGGCTGCCTCTCTCCAGAGGGCACAGCCTTGGTTCAGCCCAGAGCAGCCCCGCCCCATGTTGGGTGGGGAAGAGAGCTGACCTCATCCCTCACACCCAAGTGGGCTGCAGAGACACTGTGGGACGGTCAAGCCTCTGGGGGCGGGGGGCAGGCCAGGGCAAGAATCCTTCTCAGGACCCTAAGCCTGAAGAGGTAACATAAACCCGTCTCCCCATCAGGGCGAAGGTCTGGTCTGCAATGAAGACTCCTGCCAGCCCTTCGGCATTCCCGTGACAAAACGAGCTAAAATGCCACCAAGCCCTGGCCACCTCTGTCCTGGGGTGCAGGGGGGTCTGTGTGAGAGCTGCAGAGAAGAGGAGATCCTTAAAGAATTACTCCCTTCAGTAAACAAATCCTTCCAGGGAAGGGGAGGATGATAACAGCAGCTTCCAAAGGGGCTGCTTTCTGGCAGTTTCTTGCTTTAACCCCACCTTTCTCTATACGGGGCTGCCACTCCCTCCCAGGTACTCAGGGTAAGACAGCCTCTGTCCCAAGCAGAGGCACAAATGGAGGAAAGGGCCTCAGCAGCCCTCTAGCTGCTTCCACATTCCTGTCCGTGTTTCCCTGGGGAGGGGGGCCTTTCAGTGCTGACTCCCTAGAAGGTGGTTTTTCCTGTTCTAAGGGGATGGAGAGGTAGGGAATTCCACAGAAGTGGGTCTCCACACCTGGTGCCTTGATGCCGCCTCCCCGGGAGGGCTCCCTGCAACCATCCCTGGTTCAGAGGAGGCCAGGAACCCAAGGCTGGTGCCTCAGCGGGAGAGCATGGGCAGGAGGAACCAAAGGGCCTGTGGCCACCACTTACTAGAATTACGAGGCCGAAGTGCAAGTAGCGTTCTAGCAGACTGGACAGCCCCCAGAGACCCGGCCTACAGCTACGGGGAAATCGGGGACTGGCCTGGGGCCCAGGAAGCCCTGGGCTGCCCTCGGACCGTGGACAGCACTGGGCCTGTCTGAGAAGTCTTACTAGAAACTAGAACAATCTCCCTGCTAAAAACTCAAGGAAGACAAACAAACAAAATTCAACCTGAAATAAATACAAAGGCATTAAGTGCTTCTTGATAAGTTCAGGGTCCTAATTCACCCTCTGCAAAAGGCGAGGGGAGGGCCTTTCCCTGGACCTGGTTGCCTCACCTGTGGCCCTTCATGTGAGAGGTCAGAGGTCAGAAGCCAGATGGGCCTTCCTGGGCCCAGCTTCCATGAGGAAAGAAAGGACCCAACCCCTAATACACTCCTCACCCAAACCCCCTCTCCGAGATAGCTTGAGCTGGCTGGGGTGGGGGGTGAGAAAGAGAAGAGGTCCCCCGCATCCCTAGGGCAGCACCTTGTGTCCCACGTCCCTGCGCGGGCAGAGGGCCTGTCCGTCTGTGCGGAGGTAGAGCCAAGGGCAGGTTGCTGGGACAGGCAAGGCCACTCAGTTAATCAGCAGGTCCCCAAGGTCGTAGGAGTCGAAGAGGTCACTGATACCCTCACCCCCGTCCAGGCCCCACAGGTAGTCGTCCTGGTCCAAGGGCGGGGAGAAGCTGATCAGGGGAGAGCTGCACGGCAGGCTCGGGGACAGGAACTGGTCCTCAGTCTGCTGCAGAAGTGGGTGTGGCAGCTCCAGCAGGCTGTCGGTGGCCTCCAGGGGGACAAGCGGCAGGGGCGGGGGCGCAGGCGGCTGCGGGACTTGCTGGGGAGTCAGCGCTGGTGTTGGAGACAAGCAGACAGAGGTCACACTTAGACCTGGTGCCCAAAAGCCTCTGGTCAAACCTCAGAGCCCAGGAACGGCCCTCCCCCACCCCTTCCCTGGATGACTGGGCATCCTCTTCTCTCCAAACCTGCCTCACACCCAATGGCAGGGGACACGCTCCCTCTCCCGGCACAGCTCCAGCCACTGCCCCTGTTCTCCCACCTCTCGAAAGAGGTGGGATCTCTTGGTCTCCAACTCCTACCCGCTTGGGGCACCTGGCTGGCTCCATTGGAAGAGCACACAACTCTTGATCTCAGGGTTGTGAGTGTGAGTCCCATTTTGGGTGTAAAGATTACTAAATAATAAAAAATCTTTTAAAAAAGAAAAAAAAAACGGGGCGCCTGGGTGGCTCAGTGGGGTTAAGCCTCTGTCTTTGCGTTGGGTCATGATCCTAGGGTCCTGGGATCGAGCCCCGCATCAGGCTCTCTGCTCAGCACGGAACCTGCTTCTCCCTCTGCCTCTGTTCCTCCCCTTCTTGTGCTCTCTCTCACTCTCTCTGTCTAGTAAATAAATAAAATCTTAAAAAAAAAAAAAAAACAAAAACCCTGCCATTTCTCCAGCACCCAGTCCATTCAGTTCGAGTGCTGTGACCCTGGTCTAGCCTGTCGTCTCCCACTGAGACACTTCTTCCCAGTCACCTTGCCTTAACGCTTGTGCTCTGGCTTAAAAATGGCTTGGAAGACAATCCAAGTTTGACCAGCACTGAGAACGCCCCGAAGGATGTAGCACCTGCCGGCCTTTCTGTTCCCTCTGTCCCGCCTCCTTCCACTCCCACGCAGCCTCTCCAGCTACACTGGCTCAGCTGCTGCGAGCAACCAAAAGCATTTCTCCTTAGATGTCACAGGGCGACTTCCTACACAGGGACAAGGAATAGGGTGCTGGGAATCCCCCCAAATATATCCTAACGCCCAGAATCTCACCGTTTGAGTCATGCCTTAAACCCCAACCAAGCATTCCTTGGAAACAGAGCCGTGCTGGTGTGTCCGCCTGCCTGATCAGCCTCTTACTCCTGAGTATCTGTGGGCAAGTGACTTAATGTGGACGAGCCTCTGCTTCCTCACCTCTAAAAGGGGGACACGCATTCCCTGCCTCGCAGGGTTACTGAGAAGACTCAGGGATAGGTGCAGGGAGAAAACCCTCATCAATAAGAAGAGCTCTGGGGGCGCCTGGGGGGCTCAGTCAGTTAAGCATCTGCCTTCGGCTCAGGTCATGATCCCAGAGTCCCGGGATCGAGTCCCACATCGGGCTCCCTGCTCTGCAGGGAGTCTGCTTCCCCCTCTGACCTTCTCCCCTCTCATGCTCTCTCTCACTCTCTCTCTCAAATAAATAAATGAATAAATAAATAAATAAAAATAAGAAGAGCTCTGGTTTACCAAGGGCTTACCATAGCCGGCCCTGCTCTCAAGGACAGGGGTGTTTCACCTCCTCAAGGGGCCCCACAGGAGGTAATCCTGGGACCCCTATCTACAGATGAAGAAACTGAGGCTCAAAGGAGCCAATTAAATGTATGTGAATGAAAAAAACGGCATGTTTCTTTAGTGGGTTGCTGAGGCCTGCAGTTCTAGTGAAAGGCTGGGCTTGGGAGTGGTGGGGGGGGGGCGGTCCAGGCTCGGACCCCAGGCCCACGCCTCGCCAGCTATAGGACCAGGAACCTCAGTTTTCTCGGGAGGGGAAAGAAGGCGCTACCTCCCTGACGTGCTGAACAGCAAGGAGATAACCCGCATGTGGAAGTCCCTGTGGGCCAGACCTTGCTCTCTGCTTATCACCCAGGAGGGAGCTGCTCTCTCGTATCTGTGCCCACTCTGATGGCTCAGACTCACGCTCTATCTCCAGACCACACAGAGCAGGCGCCCGGTTCGCAGAAGCTTTTTAAAAAATCACATTCACGCTGTCTCACTGCCTGTAACCCACCCAGAAATCGTAAGGGAGTTTTACGTGTCCCAGTTTTACAGAAGTGCGAACAGAGGTTTTGAGGGGCTGAAGTGTCCCGCCTAGTCACCAAGTCATAGCAGGTGACGTGCAAACTCAAGCCCCAGGCTCCCAGCGTTGACTCCTGCACGGTAGCAACATTCACGTTTACCTCAGAATGTGAGAGCCTGGAGAGATGGTAGAGACAACCCATACCCAAAGCCCCTCCATGACAGATGAGAGAAACTGAGGCCCCAAAGCGGAAGTGATTCCCTCTGGTGATGCCAGAACCTGGGTCCCCAGACTGCATGTGGCCCCTGGCGCTCAGATCTCAAAATGGCTCTGCTTCAGGCAAGAACATGGAGTGTGTGTATGTGTCTGCATGTGAGAGAGAGAAAGAATGTGTGAGAGAGTGTGTGAGAGACAATGTGAGTGTGTATATGTGTGTGAGAGAGAGAGAGTGTGAGAGCGTGTGTGAGAAAGTGTGTAAGAGTATGTGTGTGTGTGTGTGAGAGAGAGAGAGAGAGAGAGTGTGTGTGTATGTGTGTGTGTGTGTACCCCTTCCAGGAACTGTCCTTCTGTTCCCTTTGCCAAGGATGTCACTAAGAGGCCACACGACAAGGGTGGAGAGGGGCACCCATGGCACAGAGCTGGCTCCTAGGCCGCCCCACCGCCAAGCACTCTGTCAGCCTCTACTCCTTCCAGGAGCACAACTGATCAGTAAAACTGAGGTAAAAACCTCACCCTTACTTATGCTGGAGGCCTCCCCCCACCTCCACTCTGCCCCAGGTCTCAGAGGACATCTGAAGTCAAAGTGGCTCTAACTGGGAGAGCTGTGCACATGTTGACAGTAGAGTGAGAAGGCAGAGCAAAGCAGGAGAGAAAACAGGGTGTGGCATAGGTCTGGCATGGGAGATAGGCCCTGGGAGGTACCCAGAGGGACAGATGACTGGTGCAAGGAGAAGTGTGACAGAGAAGAGATCACCAGAGAAGAGCTGAGGGTCTGGGCTTTTGTCCAAGCTCTGCCTCCAATTTGCTGTGTGATCTCAGAGAAGTCGCTTACCCTCTCTGAACTTCTGCTTATTCATGTGTAAAATGAAGGGCTGAGTTAGATCAGGGCTCAGCAAACTTCTGTAAAGGGCCAGATGGTATTTTAGGATTTGCAGGATACTTACAGTCTCTGTTACACAGTCACTATCTTCTTGCCCCCAACTCTTTAAATACATGAAAACCATTCTTAGCTCATAGGCCACTTAAAAACAGGCCAGATTTGGCCTGCAGGCAATAGTTTGTGGACGCTTGAGTTAAAGAAATGGAATCCAGCTCGTGTTCTGTGGACGCCCCACCAAGCCTCTTCCGTCAGACCAGTTCGAGCTCTGTTTTTTTTAAACACCAGAGTTCTACTTAAGAGAATTCTGGAGCTAAAAAAAACAGAAAGTTGAACACTGGCCTCCATAGCCTCAAAGGATGTGTCAGGCTGACCTGCTGTGTGATCCCAGTAAAAGGAAAAACCATCCTGGGGGAAGGGCCTTCCCAGGCTCCCATTTCCACTCCTTCTGGACTCCTTCCCCAAGACATCTCCCGCCTCTCTGCTCCTTGATGACTGCCTCATGCTGCTTGTTGCCAGGTAGAGCCAGCTTTAGCTGTACGGTCCACCTCCCAGCAAGGGGGAACTGCTCTGGTCAGGAACCCCTTCCTTGATCTGTTCCGAGCCTCACGGAGAGAGGACTGGGCTAGGTGTGTAGAAACAGAGGGTCAAGACACAGTTCTGTTGCCCAAGGAGACCTTGGGCGAGTCACATTACCTCTCTGCCTCAGTTTACTCATCTCTAAACTGGGAACAATAATGCCTACCTCAAGAACTGCTATGAAAAGTAATGTGATAACATAGATGTACCCAGTACATAGCTGTGACTTAAAAAATCGTAGTTGAGCCTTCCTCCAAAAATCTGTAGCTCCCATTTACTGCGGGCTTCCTGAGTGCCAAAGGCTTTGCTGGTTGGAGTCCTCATGGAAGTGTGTTCTAGCAGTACTGGCAGGTTAACAATGACAAGAATAGCCAGCAGTTACTGCCAGGCACCACCCCAAGGGCTTTCCCTATATGAACTCATTCAATCCTCACAACCTACGAAGTAGATACTGTTACTGTGCCCAACTTAGAGATGAGTCTAAGGCAAAGAGAGGTTAAGTGATTTGTCCAAGGTCACACAGCTGGTAGTTAGAAGTGCAGGGATTCAAACCCAGGACCCAGAACAGCATCAGCCCAGAGCAGCATCAGCCTCCCGACTGAGACAAGAACACACACACACACACACACACACACACACACACACACACACAGGCTTTATAAAGTGTAAAGTGCGAGCTTCCCCTTGCCCAACAAATGTTGCCGTGGAGGAGGAAACTCAAAAGCTGGGTGCTCTCCCAACTGCTGCTCCTCTGGACAGAGGGTCCTACCTGGGGATGCCACGGGTTCTGTCATCCCAGGGTCCGTGCTGCTGCCAGGCTGGGCGGAGTCAGGGCTGGGGCCAAGGGTGGAGGTTGGCGGGAGGGGCTCCTTGGCAGGACTGTCGGGCTCCTGCACCTCCTCTGGGCACAGGTAGACTTCGATGGGCCCCTGGGTGCTCTTCAGGTATATCTGCAGGTTCTCCTAGAGGAAGAAGAGAAGCCAGGTCATGACTCTGGGCGGCTGGGCACTGACTCATGGGTTCAGCCGAATGGATGGACACCCAGGCCTCCCACCACCCATGTGAGCAAGCCACACTCCTGACCTGGGCCCCCACGCTTGCCCCATCTGACCCGAGGGGGACATCTGCCTTCTGCCTGTCTGGCCCCCAGGCTCCCTTCTGTGAGGGAAAACATCTCGATTTTCCCTTGGGAAACCACTCCTCTGCCACTCTCAAGTCATGTAGTTTGGGGGAACAACACCTTTCCCAGCTCCAGTGGGTGAGCTTGGGGAGCAGGCCGGGAAGGTCACAGTGACGGTGACTAGTTCAGGGAAGCACACGACTCAGCTCAGGTCTCGAGCATCAGACCCAGGACTCATGCTGGACTTGGAAATGGAAGCTCCCTTCCCCCTGGGGTTGTGGGGCTGGGATCATGAAAGCTACCTTTGCCTCCAGAAGAGGGAAGCCCACCTAGGAATGGAAACAGCGCAGAGAATGGCAGAGAAAGATGGAGAGCACAGGGTGAAGCATCTAGCCTTGCCTGCAGTTTCCAAATCTTCCCTCTGGACCTCTCGCTTGGTTCCCTGCAGTCCCCTCCACCCCCCACCCCTGACTTAAGCCATTTGGACTTGGCTTTCTGTTGCTTATAACCAGGAGTCCTCATACTTGGCCTTCCCTCCCCTGCTTCTTCCCTCCCACCATCATACACACCTGCCATTCCAACACGCACCCAGGTCTCCTCCCCAGTGCACCTGCAGGGCCCTCTCTCTACTCCTGTTCCCCCTGACAAAAGTCCTGGTCTTTCTTTAGGACCCAATACCTGTAACCATCTATGGGCTCTTCCTTTATCTGTCCTTTCTCTGGGCCCTCGAAGCACCTTAAATCTATAAATGGCAACATGACTGCTTCCTTGGGTCTTTTTCCCACTAGGTCCTGAGCTCCTTCAAGGCAGGGGTGAGGTCCTATTTATCTTAACATCCTTCCATTAAACGAATTACTTCTCAAGCACTTAGGACATGTCCAGCTCTGGGCCAGGGGTATCACAGGCGTGCAGCATGTCTTTGTAGAGCTAACCTCTAATAGGCGAAGCACAGTATCATTACATAGTCACCCGTATCTTCCAGCAAATGGAGGGTAAGTGCAATAGAAAAGCACAGGTACTTATGAAATCTGGGAGGGGTGGGGTGGTGGTAATCTGGGAAGGCTTCCTTGAGGAAGTGAGGTTTGAGTTGAGACCTGTAGGACGAATAGCAGTAAACCAGGCAGTCCAAGGGAGGAGCATTTCAGCTGGAGGGAGCAGCAGCAGAATGTGTTATAATGGGGACGAGCTTAGTGTGGTGGCAACACAGCAGAGAAGTCATAGGGGCTAAAGCAGAGGCACAATGGGACATAATGAGAGAAGACACTGGTGAGATCAGAGCCCAGAGGGCCTCCTAGGGAAGCAGTAAGAATTTGGGTCTTTAACCTAGGCGAGAAGGGATCATGGTGAGCCACCAGTACCATGGCATGTAGGCCCAGGAGTGCAGGGGCTGGTGGGTGCAGAAAGGTGCCAAGAGCAGAGATTTTTTTAGATCAGTAGCTGACGTCTTTTGTCCTTTCCAGCTCCTGCCATCGCTGCCCCAGCTCAGAGACCACCAATCTTGCTACGGGCACCAAAATGGTTCAGAGAAGCTTGGGGCTAGGCAGGGCCAGGCACAGAGCCTACAGCACAGCCTGGGACCCTCCTTAACCTTCTTTTCGCCAAATGCTCCCCCTCTCACCTCGCTCCTGTCGGGCACCTCGAGTCTTGTCTGCGGAGGGGCCTTGACAGCGATCACCGTCTGCTCCTTAAAGTTGCCAACAGCACGGATGTCCTGGTAAGTCACGTAGGCCAGTGTAGGGGCATGAGAGTCAAGAGAAGTAACCGGTCAAAATTCAAACCTCTAGCCTGCCAGACAAAGCCTCTGAACATGTCTTTCTCACTCCTTCCACAGCTTACAAATAACCAAAAACGACTACCCGTCCTTTTAGCATTGTAAGCTACCGTGGATCCCTTTAGAAAACAAATGGGAGTACAAATCACTTTTTTAATTAATTTTTTAAAATGTTGCCTCTTGTCCGTTTTCTAGACTATCTTGGGAGCCTGGGTGGCTCCGTCAGTTGAGCATCTGACTGTGGCTCGCGTCATGATCTTGAGGTCTTGGGATCGAGCCCCACACCAGGCTCCCCGCTCAGCAGGGAGTCTGCTTATCCCTTTTCCCTTCTTGTGCTCTTTCTCTCTCAGATAAGTAAATAAAATATTAAAAAAAAAAAGACTTTATCTCTCAGACTAGATCCTTATCTTTGAGCAGGTAGTAAGACCTGTCTTACTTTTGTACATTTCTCCAATGCCTAGCATCCTTCTGAAAATACAAGGTGAGATCCTAAAACCAATGAGATGGTGGAGCCATTTGGGAAAAATGGATGAAAAGCCTAAGCAGGGGTGCCTGGGTGGCTCAGTGGGTTAAGCCTCTGCCTTCGGCTCAGGTCATGATCTCTGTGTCCTGGGATGGAGCCCTGCACCGGCCTCTCTGCTCAGCAGGGAGCCTGCTTCCTCCTATCTCTCTCTTTGCCTGCCTCTCTGCCTACTTGTGATCTCTGTCTGTCAAATAAATAAATAAAATCTTAAAAAAAAAAAAAGAAAAAGAAAACCCTAAGCAAAGTCCATGTTTATAATTTTAATCCTAGGAATCTAATGAAATAAGTAAAAAATAAAGGAAAATATTCTCTATACAAAGATATTCATCACAATCCTGTTTTATAAAAGCAGAAATCTCGGGGCACCTGGGTGGCTCAGTGGGTTAAAGCCTCTGCCTTCAGCTCAGGTCATGATCCCAGGGTCCTGGGATCGAGCCCCGCATCGGGCTCTCTGCTCAGCAGGGAGCCTGCTTCCTCCTCTCTCTCTGCCTGCTTCTCTGCCTACTTGTGATCTCTGTCTGTCAGGTGGATAAATAAAATCTTTTAAAAAAATAAAAGCAGAAATCTCAAATCAATCTAAATGTTGATTCTAGGGGCACCTAGATGGTTCAGTTGGTTAAGCAGCTGCCTTCGGTTCGGATCGAGCCCCATGTTAGGCTCTCTGCTCAGTGGGGAACCTGCTTCTCCCTCTCCCTCTGCCTGCTGCTTCACCTACTTGTGCTCGGTCTCTCTCTCTCTCTCAAATAAAAAAAAAAAAAAAAAATCTAAAAGTTGATTCTAGGCCTTCTCAACAAACCAGAACATAGTCTGAGCAAGACAGTCTCAAATCATTCTAAACACTAGGTTAAATCACATGAGGTTGGTACTTTTGTAAAAAATGGTCCAATAGCAACAATTCCATGTGGATCAAGCAAATAGGAAGGATTTGTAGCAACATTAAAAACTGTCTATGAGGGGCGCTTGGGTGGCTCAGTGGGTTAAGCCTCTGCCTTTGACTCAGGTCACGATCTCAGGGTGCTGGGATCGAGCCCCACATCGGGCTCTCTGCTCAGCGGGGAGCCTGCTTCCCTCTCTCTCTCTGCCTGCCTCTCTGCCTACTTGTGATCTCTGTCAAATAAATAAATAAATAAAACCTCTAAAAAAAGGGGGGTGGGAGAAAGAAAAGAAAAGAAACAGACATGACAGACCCTGAGGGAGATTCTGCAGGAACTCAGGATGGATAGAGCATGCAGCAGGGCCCCGCTCCCTGACCGCTACCCCCCCTCCCAGCCAGACAGGATATCTCTTGTTGGCCTTGTCCTCCGTCAGGTGCTTGAAGCTCAGAGAGCAGCTCTGGATGAGCTGGTCCAAGGCCTGCTCCGCGCTCATCAGCTCCTTCAGCTCCTGCCCCAGCTGCTGCTGCTTCCCGGGCCGGGTGGGGTCTTCAAACATTCCCCTGCCTCTGGGAAGAGAGCCGTTCCCCCGTGTCAGTCTCAGTCCACATCCAGGGGCCCCAACCCTAGGGCTGCCACGCAGACCCGCCCAGACCGTGCAAAACCCCAGAACGGGGCCATCGGTGTTGTCTACAGTGGGGCTCCCTGGGCTGTGCAAATCAGTGGTCCTGCCTAGCAGGCAGGGAGCCGCTGGAAATGGAACCTGAAGTTCGGGGGCTGGGCTAGGGAAAAGAGACAAGTCAAGCCTGACCCTGCTTTTGAAGAGCTCTCAACACGGTCCACCTTACACCCCAGCTTCCCCCAAATGCCTTGCCTGGGTTCCCTGCAGGTCTGCTCTGGTCTTCGTAGGAGGAAAGGAGCCCGGAGGACTCAGATCTGAGCTGGAAAGAGGGTCAGTTGCAACAGCCCAGGTCCAGGGGACTTTTTTAATCTAGAAGAGGGGAATCTTGGGGTCCCCAACTCAAGGCGATCTGGGTCCTCTTAGTCTTTACATGTTCTAGAAATCCCTCTTCAATACGTTGGCTCAGCTCCCAGCATGTAAGCCTATGGGATGTTGCTCTTGGCACCAGCACCCCCTGCACCCGCTGGATATCGTGCCCCTCCCCCACCTTCACCCATGGCACGTGCACCCACGGGCACCATCGGCCCCAGCCCAGGCACTCACACCCACTGGATGTTGTTCTTGGCCTTCTTACGGATGAGCTGGATGCCCTCCAGCACGTTGGTGATGTCATAGATGCGCCGTTTCTGCACGTCCAGCACCTCGGCAGCCCAGTTCAGGTCCAGGACCCCATCCTTGGATTCGCTCAGGAGGTAAATGAACTTCTTGGTGAGCAGCCCCAGCGACGTATCATAACGAGTCTTCTCTCCAGGGGACTTGGGGGCTGAGGGGGAAAGAGGCCCAGTCACCACTCAGGGAGAGCCACCTGGGCAGCCTCGTCCACGGATGGGGACCTAACAGGTACCGCCCTTCCCATGAACACAGGAACAACCACTCTCCAGTTCACAGAGCACCACGAGGTTCTGTAAACCTCATGGTTGTTCACCTCTCCTGTCCAGGCAGGGAACCTGAGACCTGGAGAGGGAACGTGACTTGTTCAAGGTCTCACAGTCAGGGGCAGGGACAGGACTGGAGACCAAGCCTCTTCTAACTCCTGGTTCAGAGCACCTTCCCACCATAGCTTAAGGGAGCCTTATCAACAACCCCACCACCAACGACGACAAGCACTGTGTGTAGGATCACGGTTCTAAGCACTTTCCATATACAACAAATTCAATCCTTGCGACCCCCTAAGAGGCTGCTGTACAACCATCCCCATTTCATGGATGAGACTACTGAGGAACAGACAGGGAAAGTGACTCTAGCTCACTCAGCTAGAAAGTGCCAAAGCTGGGATTTAAATCCAGGCAGCCTGGCTGCAGAGTCTGTCTTCTTAACCATTCCCCTCTCTTGCCGGCTTTGCCAGCAATCTGGAATTAGGGTAATGAGAGAAAGAGAATGATGGGCTGGGACTCGGGCACATTTTTCGACTTGCTTTTTCTTTCCACGTATAGTAATCATTTCCACAGTAATGATTATCGGAAAGGAATCAGTCCTATAATACCAAGTGGGGCAGGTTCGTGAAAAAAAGAGACTTTCTTAATGGGGTTGATGTCACAAGACCACATCCCAGCGGCAGTATCTTAAACCACAAGAGGACTTTGGCAATCAAGTGACTTGCAAAGTCCTACAGCAAGCTAGCCGCGGAAGAGTTCTGGAAACTGAGCTTTGGAGAGCGTCAGATTCCTCCGGAAGGGGACTTTTGAACCCCGTCACATACAGATGGCAGGCATTCGGCACACAGGAGGTTTTGGTCATGTTTGGGGTCCCTGGCAGACACTACTGAATGATCAGTGCTCCTAGTGTCTCTCTATAAAATGTTGCAGGCAGCCTCTACCCACACAGGAGGGCCAGCTTTCCTGCCCTCCCTGACCCAGCTGGGCTTTGTTTTACAGAAGAGACAGCTAAGGCTCACGGCAGGAGGGACCAGAGTCCTGCCCAGATCCCCGACCCTCATGCTTCCCACCCAGTGACATACCTTCTTCATGAGGTCTCCGACCCCCCAAATCATTGTTCCTCCCTAACCTAAGTTTCTAAAACTCCGGCTGGAACCAGGATGTTGACTGAACATATCAAGAGGCAGAAGTAGAAATTTCCTGCAGCTTAGCTCTCAAAAGACACCGCCCACCCCGCTCAGGCAGCCCCAGGATCTTCACGGTTTAGACTAATCCAGGCTTCCCTTGGAATCACTCACTCAGCTCTCTGCCTGTGGGATAAAGACCCCGACTAGCCCTGCTCCCCTCGGAGCTGGAGTCTCTCTTTTAGAAAAGGTCAGACTGAACTAAATACAAACTTTTTTTAAAAAAAATGAGTAAGCTCCCAAGTGAAACACCCGTCACCACATTGAGGTCACGAGAGTGGTGCGTGGTGTGGGAGAGGCTGTGCCCGCTTGGGTTTGGGCCCTGACACCCCTCCCCACCACCACCAGTGTGACCTTGGGCAAATCACTCAGGCTCTGAGTCTCTGACAGCCTCATCAGGGAAAGGGGGACAGTGCTGACGACTGGCAGTGTCCCGTGAGAGATGGCAGAGGAAGCTGCTTTGTAAACCGGGAAGTGTGCCACAAATATCACTCCTGCTGATGTGGGTAGGGCTGCTGCCCTCTGCCCCTGCCTGCCCTCCCCTCCCACCCCCCTCCTGAGCCTGCCTTAGATGCCCCATCTGTGCGGCTTACTTCTGGGGCTGGGGAGACCGTCCACTCTAAGGCACTTCCCCTTGGGAGTCCGGAACTCAGGGACCGCTGGTCTCCCGATCCCCTCCAGGTCCAGCTTCCTTTTGGCCTTGGAGAGAGGAGAGAGAGGCAGAGTTTGAGTATCATTCCTCTTTCAGTCTTTCCCCGAGTTGGGGCCAAAGCATGGAGGCCACCGGCAGCTGCTTTCTGTGCCTCAGTTTATCGCCAGTCCGGGGGAAACATCTCGGCACTTGGTAAGGAAACAGCAGTGACTGGCCAAGCGAGCTTTTGGGGGGAAAAGGAGTCCTGAGCCTCAGCCTGAGGTGCAGGTACACGAAGACTTCCGAAGCCAGTCTGGCCAAGGGCTCAGGGTTGCGTCATAATGGGCCCCAAGGTCACTTCTACATCCGCCATCCCCAACCCCCCACGCCCAGAGGCTGAAGTAGGGAGGAAGAGGTGGGTAGGACCTAAACCACATCGGGCTGGGGAACGCCTCCCGCCCCACCAAGTGCACGAGCAGCTGGCCCAGCCTGCCCTGGTGCCCATTACAGCCCCACAGCTGGCCCTTATCAGGGTGGGGCTGGGCAACCGCCCAGGCCCAGGGGACTTCCTGGCTCCGTGCCACACCCCAGGGAGGTGCCCACATCGGGAAGCCGAGCAAACATTCCCCACCCCCATGTTTGGGCTCCAACTCAAGGGCCCCGGGGGCCTCCTGAATAGACTCCATTTGCCAATCTTTCTTTGCTGAGAGGGGCAGACAATGAATCCCTCCCCTGCATCTCAAGGACAAACAGCTGAGGTCCCCCTGCTCCCCCTGCCTGTTCCCGCCAAGCTTGGGAAACACCTGCTGGGGAAATGGAACCACAGACATCTGCTCCTCACCCCGCTGCCACCAGGCCCCAGTTAGGCCCAGAAGCTGCACTGCACCGGAAGGGGCCTCTCTCCTGTTAGGGCTGGGCAGGGGCAGGGCTAGGGTACTGGGGCATTGGGGCATAGGTCAGAGGCCTGGACTTGACTCTCCCAGCTCCTTTGTGGGCTCACTGCATGTGTGTGTGTGTGTGTGCGAGACTTGGGGAAGTACGCAACAGCTAGGAGCCTCACTTTCCTCCTCTGTAAAATGAAGCAGAAAACACCTGTTTTGAGGGGCCACTGTGAGAAACCAAGGAGATAACCCCTGCCAAGTGCTCACCCTACGGCTCAGCACACAGTAGGTGTTCAGAAAATGCGGACTCCCTTCCTGAAATCCAGGCTTGGCCTCTTCTTTGACACACCCTTCAGGGGGCCCCTGAGCCCATTTCCTTCCTCTCCCTCTCCCCTAATCACCCAGACACCCTGAAGCTGGCTGGGACAGAGAGGCCTATTTTAACCTTTAACAGTGAGGTCATGCTTGGCAGGTCTGACACTTCTAACTGCTGCTGAGCACAGCTGGGCTGACAGGTGTGGGAAGTGGTGACAGCGCTTCCGGCTATCAGCTCCCCTCCCTGCTCCTGCCTCCTCCAGGCAGTCCTCCTGGACTGATTCCAGGAGACCTGCTCCTTGGTTTGAGGAGCCTGGATATGATGCTCCTCTCGTCCACCCCTATCCAGACCTGGACATGATCCAAACACGTCCCTGCTCATTCCTCTTGAAGACCCTCTGGCATATTCTTTTTCTAACCTCTCAGCTGGTGAGATCCTAGATTCTAGGGAATGTGACTTATCTTGTCTCTAGAGAAAGGCCCAGCCGTTCACTGAGAACTTCCACATGCCCTGGGCCGAGCCCCAACATTCATCACCTCACCGAATCTCCCCAGCACCACCAAGCCCCATTTAACAGCTGAAGTAACTGGGACCTGGTGAACTCCAACGTCTTTGTCAATCCTGATCGAGGTTGTCCATCCGAGGACCCTTCCCCCATCTCTCAAGAAGGAATGCCAAGAGCAGGGAGAGGAAGAGGTCAAGCTGAGTTCTACCCGGGACAGAAGTGGGGCAGCCCAGTCTCCCCAACGCCATCCACCTTGCCCACCCAACAGGAGCCAGGCCCTGCTGAGTTCACAGAACACGAGCAAGAGCCTCACTACTGCAGAGCAGGGAGAAGAAAGGACCTTGAATGGAGTATCATGTGCCCATCAGTCCTGTACCATCAGTCCTGGCAATCTCTCTTGGCAGAAGAGAAACGGAGACTCAGAGGGGGTAAGGCATGAACCCAAGGTCACACAGACAAAGGGCAGAGCCAGAGTTTGAACCCAGGATTGTCTGACTCCAAAGCCACGTGCCAGGCTGTCTCAGCTCTTTTGCACACATTCCCCCAGATTTTGCTAGAACTTGAGCCGAGGCCTGGTTGTGCCCACCAGCCCCCCATTACTTTATATACACATAGCAGTTCCCTCCCTTCCCTTACAGTCCCTCCCCTTACCCTGTACTTCAAGCATCCCAAAGCAGCAAAATGTGCCTCACCTAAGGACATCTCCCTGACACCTTGGGGCAAGGCCCATGGATGTGCCTGAGCCTACAGAACAGAGGTGGCAGAGGACAAGCCCAGGAAGATGAGGGCCAAGAAGAGCCAGAGCAAAGGGCTTGGAGCCAGATCCCTCTGGGTTCCCCTCCAGGCTTCCCCCCTTCTTAGCCGGGTAAGCTCAGCAAGTCAGTTGACCTCTGGAGCCCCACCTGTAAAATGGGCATACTCTGCTCCACCCTGGCCGGGGACCCAGTGACGGTGCAGCAAAGCGCCTGGCTCACACACGGAAGCCGCCATCACTAAAGGTCCCAGGGCCGCCAGCAAGGGGGAAGTGCAGAGGGAAGCTGAAGAGACGGGAATGTGCCAAGAACAAAGGCACATTTGCTCTAATCTGGACCTCTTAGGAGGCAGCCCCTTTGGCTGTTTCTTAAAGGCCTGGTTAGGATTCAAGCTCCCCACCAACCCCTCGGGAAAAAAGGCAGGCCCAGAAATGAGGGGGCCAGAGATACCCAGACGCAACCCCACTCTGGGCAGCAAGGTGACGAAGGTGGGGCTCAAAGGAAGGGAAGTGACTTGCCCAAGGTCACTCAGGGAATGAAGCCAGGCTTTTTCCAAGCCCCAAGTCCTAATTTAGGCAGTGGGGGTAGGAGCAAGTGTTCCAGATCCCAGCCCTACCACTCAGCAGCCTGCATTTCCACATCTGACCCGCCTCAGAGGATTGGTCCTTAACATGCTCCTTTGCTTTCAAGCTTCTCAGGGGGACTTTGGGAAAAGCCAGACAAAAAGAAGAACCGTGCAGAATCCCACCCTCTTCACAGATTCCCATAGGAATAAGAGAGAATCGTGTAGTGTGCCTGGCTGGACTAGGGACTCCATAGAGGAACATCCCAAGCCTTCCCCAGAGGGTGCTGGAAAGAGCCCCAGACAGCGAGTGAGACCAGGGCTCAGGCTTCTATTCTGCCACTGAACTTGGTTGCCATCCCCGAGGTCCCTTTAAACAGCAGCTCCCCAAGAGATCCTACTCACCCTGCCCTTTGCAGCCTGGCCACAACCCAAGCAGCCACACCCAGGGTTGGGTTTGGAGCTGCTCCAGGTCCCGCCCTGGTAAAATGAGTAAGCGGGGGGCCAGGCCTGCCCATGGGGCTGGGGGCCAGAGGGCATCTGATGGGAGAGGGGGCTCTGGGCCTGATAGGCCTTTAGGGCAGTCTAATGCAAGGAGACTCTCCCACTGCTTGGCTTGTGACTTGGACAAGTGACTTCACGTCTCTGCTCAGTTTCCTCATCTGTAAGATGCCTCATCCCAAGCATCTTGGCCAAGATAATGAGTGTGAGGAGTGCCAAGCAGTGACTGGCACACGAGAGGCGTTCAGTAAAAGAGAACCATTCTTGCTGTGATCACTGAGCCCCTCTGGGAGGGAGCTACAGACAGATGCACTCAGGCTCCTCTGGGAGGGAAGCAGTTCAAAACCACAGCTGTTACTGAAACGCAGCCACTGAAACCCCGCCTGGGCGCCTGATAGCAGCTGGCCAGAGAAAACTGCACCCTCCACTGAGCCCCTTCCCCCCGCCCGGGGCACCCAGCTCCTCGGTCAGGCAGTACTGCAGAAAGTCAAGGCTGCAGAGAAGAGACCAATGATCACCAGCCTTGGTCATGCACCTCCCTGCATGACCTTGTACAGATCATATCCTCACTCTGTGCCTCAGCTTCTCCCTGGAGCTACTAAGGCCTCCTCCTTCCCAGGGTACAAAACTGTGTTAGGTTGTAAAATGCTGAATATAAAGATAGATACCCAGTCTCAATTATCTTTGGCTGTTTGACCTGTGAAACAGGATAGCACCCCTGGCTCCCTCGTGCAGGAAGGGGCTCTGGAAAGTTTAAAGCCTTGAGCATGGGCAAAGCATGATTCCCCTAGCAGGGACTTGTGCCTGCTGCATCCGGGGAAGGCTGGGGGGTCTGTGCCTGTCTACCAACAAAGGTCTGACCTGATGCCTCTACGGCAGGGAGGGCTGGTCTTATCTCTCTGTACCTGAAATTATCCACACCACTCACAACGAAGCAAACTACAGCACCTCCATCTCCCCTTCCTGGAGCCGCTTTCCAAAACCCAGGACCAGGAGCTGGAAATGACCTGAGATGAGTTAGCCCAACTATGCCATGGACAGACGCATTTTCAAGAGAAGGAAATGTAAGCCCAGACTGGGGCCAAGACTTGTCCAGAGCCACACTGAATTAGTGGCAGTCAGGACCAGAAACCAAGCTACCCATCCACCACCCAGTTCCCCAGGGCTTTTCCCACCCCACCCACCTCTACCCTATGGTTGTTTCCATTCTCAAGGGCTCCAGGAATTCCACTCCCACAAAACACACCCTGTACCTGGTGCCACCACATTTAAGGCCCTCCCTGGCAATGGCCTGGGGGCTTGAGGAAGGAAAAGTCCATCTGAATAGGAAACCCAGGGGGCTACCCCCAGTCTGCACCTGCTACTGGCTGTCTGGGAGGGAAGACTGGGTCTGGGAGAGCCATAGGGCAGATAATTGGGAAAGAGTCGGCTGTACAGGAAATTTAGAGTCTGTCCAAGCTAGACTGGACCTGAGAGACACCCCATCCCTGCCCCCCATCTTAAAGTCCCCCATTCTACGCCTAGACCAAGCCTTATACCTGTGCCATAGCAGATGCCCAGTACCAGTTTCTGGACCAAACAATGAATGAAAGAATGAAGGAATGGTGGCAATGTCAGCTCCGTGGACTTCCTCAAGGTCACACGGTGCACTGGGGGTAGTGGGTTGAGTCTCCGCACTCCCAGTCCAGTGCTCATTCCACTCCAGTGCATGGTTATTTCATCCCAAGTCCGAAAATGAAGGGCTCCTTCAACTCAGATATGAGGGCAATGGGTTGTTCTGGAAGCTGAAAGCCCTCTTTTCCCTCCCCAACTCGACCTGCTTCGTTCAAACTGGGTCCCAGGCGCCCCTCCCTCCTTTCCCACACCCGCAAAAACAGAGGGAGAAGCGGTGGGCGGCGGTGGGGAGGTCCCCAGCATTACCGGCAGCCGGCCAGCGGGCACGCATCGCACAGCTTGGCCCTCCGGTCCGTGGGGGGTGGCGTCGAGGCAGGTGCCGGGCGCCGCAGTGGGAGGCACAGTCTGCGGGTACAGCGAGGTGTAGTAGGTGGTGGTGGCCGGGCAGAGCTGGGGGCTGCTGAGGCCGGGCGGCCACAGCTCGGTAGGGCTCATCGCGTGCAGTCCCTTCGAGGGCGGCCCGGCGGCTGGAGCCAGGGCCTGGGGCCCTCGCAGCATGGCGAGCGCAACGCCCCCTCCCCAACCGGGCCTGGCGCGCCCGCAGGCACCTGCGGGCTCCGTAGCCCGCGGAGGCTCACACCGCCCGAGGCATGGAGCGGAGGCTGGGGAAAGCCGCCAATGGACGCCTGCGGGGCAAGGCCGGACCCTCCCCTCCTGGCCAGCGGCCGAGCTGAGCAGCGCTTGGAGATCCCCGCTTGGAGATCGCCCCGCGGCGGCGGCGGCGGCGGCACGGCCAGTGGCTGTCCCACCCCGAGGGCGACGGCGACCCGGGACGGCCCCGCGCCCCCAAAGACCTCGGCGCTTGGGGTCTGGCTGGCTCCTGGTAGGGGTCTCTGGGGTCGCCGGGGGCTCGGAGGAGAGGTGATGCGCTCAGACGGGGAAGAGGGGCCGATTGCACCGACTCCCTCTCGCCTGGCTCTCTGGTCCCCAAGTCTTTCTCTGCCTCTTTTTTTTTCCTCCTTCTCCTCTTTTTTTTTTTTTTTTAGCGCCAAACTGCGTGCCGCGAAATTCGGATCTCCCGCGGAAAATGCAGCGCTTTGGTTGGCCGCCGCTACTGGCACAGGCTCCACCCCCCGGAAAGGACCGGTTCCCGAGGCTGCGATTGCAACACGAGCTTCGCTGCTTAAAGGGGCCGCCACACCTCCTGTTGCCGGGCGCCCGCCGTCCCTAGCCGCGGGAGAAACAGCCTGGGGTCGTGGTTCGGTACCGTGCAGAAGCAGCCAGAGCTTGCTGAGGAAAGGGCCTGGATTCCCTGTGGCGGGGAGAGGGGAGTGCGGGAAGGAGGGAATTCGGGCACGGAGTCCTGTCCTGAGCCCGGACCCAGCAGCACATTACCCAGGCCAAAGGCTTTTGGTTATTTTGCATATACGCTTTTATATCCTTTTTCTGCCCCGCTAAAATGAAAGCCAGGAACCTGTTTTCTTTCCTGGCAGGGGGGCGATGGGTGGAGCCTAATATTTATACCTCATGATAGGAGGATACTAACATCTGCTGAGGGCCTCCAGTAGGCCAACCACCCTGCTAGTTGTTTTATTTCATTGAATCCAACAATCCCAGGAGGAGGCACGATGGTCTTCGTGGTAAAGACTGGAGAGACGGAAAGGCTAAGTAACTTGTCTAGGATCACAGAGAGATTCACTGACTTGAGAACTGGCGGTCCAATCTGAATAGGCCAGCTTCTGAGCCCTTGTTTGTTCCAATAAAAGCTTTCTCCCCCACCCTCCCAAGCTGTGCCTGCCCCTTGCAGGCCTGGATGGGGACTGCGGGTCCAGAGTGCAGAGCTATGTCTTGTTCTCAGTGACATTCCCAGAGCCCCACATTCAGTAAATATTTGAACATCTCCATGTTTCTCCTAAACAATCCTTTTGTCACACACAAGAGCCTCCCTCCCTCATTCAAAACCTTCATTGCCAATAATCCATTTACATTCCCAGTCTCTCCAGCTTAGAGATGCCTAGGCTCCAAGAAGTGACCTCAGCTGCAAGAAGCTAAATTCCAAGTCTGCCAGTTCCTGCCTGGTGCTGCGTGATTCCTATGCGGGTCTGAGGCTGGCGTTCAAAACCCTCCAGAGTTGGTCCCCAGCTTCATACCTGGTCCTTATACTCAGATCTCGAGGATGACGTAACACTAATGCACAATGATCAAGAGCCCAGACTTTGTAGCAGACAGCACTGGGTTTAAATCCAGTCCCAGTCACTTTACCAACTGTGTGACCCCAGGCAAGTTTTATAAACTCTCTGAGCCTCACTTTTCTCACCCTATTAACACCCACCTCATAGGATGGTGGGGAAATCTCATGAGATCAGGTACAGCTGTCAGCACACAGCCTGGTTCCTGAAGAACCTCAAGAAATAGCTGTGGTCACATTTCCGGCCTTATCTCCAGTATGCAGACCCCCTTCATTCCAGTCTACATATTTCACGGTTCTTCAAGGTCCAGCTTAAACGTCACCTCCTCCAGGAAGCCTTCCCTGCTTGCCTCCCCTCTCTCAGTTAGAGAGCTTCATGCCCTCTTCCCATGCTAAGTGTATTCTGACTCAACAAATAAAGCTCTATTTAGTGGCAAGGAGGCTGCGATTCAAGTCCCACTTCACACTTCCTAGCTGAGCAACCCTGGGCAGGCCGCTACTCCACCTCTCAACCATCAACTACCGACAAGGCTTCTACTCAGTTGCTTTCATAGGTCTCTGAGACACTATTGAAATGGGGATGGTAATGACCCTCACAACACCCTTCTGGGACAGGCACTGTTATTATCCCCATTTTACAGATGAGGGATCCTGGAAGGAATTGTGGCCGAGCAGGTTTGGGGAAGGAGCAGAGCCCCAGGGCCAGGAAGGGAAATGGGGGTGGCAGGGTGGGGCTGAGAGAACGCAGGGAGCCAGCAAGGGGGCCAAGAGCCAGCTCTCTGTGGTTGAGTTTCGGGCCGCCGGGGCTAGCTTTGGTTTCACTCCCTGGGAACGGACTAATTCCTGTGGGGCATATCTGTAGTCTGTCTCCCTGAACTTGAATTCCTGCCCCATCCGTTCCTAGCTTGTGCTCCTGGTCAGGTTGCCAGACTTCTCTGAGCCTCACTTTCTTCACTTTTGAAATGAGGATGGCATGGGCGCCTGGGTGGCTCAGTTGGTAAAGAGTCTGCCTTCGGCTCAGGTCATGATCCCGGGGTCCTGGGATGGAGTCCCACATAGGGCTCCCGGCTCCCTGCTCAGGGGGGAGCCTGCTTCTCCCTCTGCCTGCTGCTCCCCCTGCTTGTGTGCTCACTCTCTCTCTCTTTCTAAATGAATAAATAAAATACATATTTTTAAAAAGCATGGAGTCTGTTTGGGGCTCCCCCTCTCCCTCTGCCCCTCTGACCCCTATATGCATTCTCTCTCTAAAATAAATCAATCAATCAAAAAGAAAAGAAAAGTCCCCAAACCAAAGCAAGCTCCATTCCAAGTGATGTACCTCATCCCTGGTGTATCTTCTGAAAAAAAAAAAAAGCCTCAGATTCCCTCTGTTCAAAGTCCTACTTATCAAAATACAAAACGCTTGATAGAAACTTCCTGAAGGTACAGACCTCCTGTTTGGGGGCTCTCCAGTGGGTTACCTGTTCATATGAATCTAAAATTGAGAGAGAGAAGCCAAAAGGGAACTACTGTAGGAAGGAAAGGTGGGGGGGTGGTCTCTGCTCATTAGGGAAAAGAAAATCAAATCACAATGAGATTCACACCCACTAGGACCACAGTGATCAAAAAGATTGACAAAAACGAGTGTCTAGGATGTGGAGAAATTGGAACTCTCCTTCCTTGCCAGTTGGAAGGTAAATTGGTACAGCCACTTTGGAAAACAGTTATACACAGAGTTACCATAGGACTCAGGAATATCACTCCTAGATATACACCAAAGAGAACTGAAAATAAATGTTCATCCAAGAATGTGTGCATGAATGTTCATAACAGCATTATGCATAGCAACCAAAGATAGAGATAACCCAAATAGGCATCGGTGGTTGGGTGGATAAATTTCAGGTGACGTAGCCATACAATGGAAAATTATTCAGTCATAAAAGCGGATGAATTACACACAAGAGCCACAACACAGATGAACCTTGAAAACTATTGTGCTAAGTGAAAGAAACCAGGCACAGAAGGCCATCTACCACATGATTCCATCAACGTGAAATGTCCAGAATAGGAAAATCTATAGTGCCAGAAAACAGAGTGGTGTTTCCAGAGGTGGGTAGAGGTGGGTCAGTTCCATTTCACAGATGAGTAAACTGAGGCTCAAGAGAAACTGAGTTCCACTACCTCTCCTGTCTGTGTGGCTTTGGACCCATGACTTCACCTCTCTTGGAGCCTTAGTTTTCTCGATTGTAGAACAGAAATAATGTTGTGCACCTAAGAAGGTGATTGTACTGGTTGGTATTTTTTAGTTCCTGTTCTCGCTCAGCTCTCTGGCCTTTGGGTGGAAGCTCGCGGGGTTTAATGGTTAAGGGTGCCACCTAGAGGTGAGCTCAGGCAACTGCCCCAAGCCTGCAAGGCGGTCTATTTTTGGTCAAGTCAGCCCACTACGGGCTTGGGGAGGAGAAAAAGGATGTGAAAGGCGTCGCCCTGCTGGGAAGGCCGCGGGCGGGGGGGGGGGGGGGGGGGGAGCTACCAAATTGGCCAGATTCTTTCCAGATGTGTCCAGACCTGGAGATGTTTTTCACAGATATTGGGTCCCGTGAAGGTGGCCACACGTTGTGGGGAGGGAAGTCGGATTCAAGTCCAATAGAGATGCCCAGAGCAGCTTAGGCGGACAACACCCATAATTCCTGGGGTTCTCAATTAATTCTTTCCTCTTCCTGTAGGAACTTTTTTTTTTTTTTTTTAAGATTTTATTTATTTATTTGAGAGAAAGCGAGAGAGAGAGCGCGAGAGACAGGGGGCAGGGGAGAGGGAGAAGCAGGTTCCCCGCTGAGCAGGGAACCTGACCCAGGGCTCTATCCCAGGACCCTGGGGATCATGACCTGAGCCAAAGGCAAACATTTAACACACTGAGCCACCCAGGCTCCCCTGTAGGAACTCTTCAAAGGCACACCTGATAGGAGCACCTGGATGGCTCAGTCCCTTTCCGGTCTGACTTGATTTCTGCTTGGATCATGCATGGTCTCTGGGGCTTGCCATTGAACAGGGTCCTGAGATCCAGCCCCAGAGCCAGGTGAAGGAAGCTCAGCAGGGAGCCTGTTGGAGATTCTCTCCCTCCCTCTGGCCCAGCCCCTGCTCACTCTTTCTCTCTCAAATAAATAAATAAATAAATCTTTAAAAAGCAAAAAACAAAACAAAACAAAAAACTGGGGCACTTTGGTGGCTCAGTTGGCTGGGCAACCGACTCCTGGTTTTGGCTTGGGTGATGATTTCATGAGTCAGGATCTCACAGGCTTGCTGGGCAGGGAGCCTGCTTAGGGATTCTCACCCTCTGCCCCACCCCTACCCGTGTGTGTGTGTGTGTGTGTGTGTGTGTGTGTGTGTGTGTGTGTGTTCTCTCTAAAATAAATAAATAAAATCTTTTAAAAAAACACACAAAAAACCACACACCTGATCTTATCACTCTCTAGCTTAAGATCTGGCACCCACCATGGCCTGGGCCACCTCTCTGCCCCTAGCCCCTGCTTTTCAGCCCACTTCGCTTGGACACCTTAGGCTCTGATCAAATACACATCTTCTGACTTCCCCTCCGACCTTCCTGCTCTCCCTGTTGGCCTATCCTGTCCTCTTTTCTCTTCCACCAGGAAGAAAAAGTCTGTTGTCAGACACGGGTTTCTCAGATACACAAGTCATT